AACTTCATTTCACTTCTCAAATATCAGTGTTTGTCCCCTATATGATATATTTAACTGATTTTTTAAATCCAAACAATCAATGATTTATAAAGGTAAATCRGGAAARTTAACAAGGCTGATGAAACTTTCACACCCCACTGTAYTGCAGGATGGCTCACTCAGAGGTTTCTAACCCTTCAATCAGATTTAGATTATTAGCTGTCAAACTGACTGAGTTATGGACATTTTTGTGTTCTTTGAGTTCAAAATCCAAAACTTGTCAGAGCTCTTTGTGTTAAAGAGAAGTAGTAAGTGGAGATAACTAAACAAGGTGTAATTTTTARCAGTGATAGGACAGTTAGCTGTGGCAGCCACGTTATATTGAGTTGCCCACAGGAGGTACATCCAGTGAATATTTTCTGCATGTTTCAAAAAAAATCTGTGCAGTGGATCATGAGATATTTTGCTCATTTGCTGGAAAAAATTGTTGGTACCCTTGGTAAATAAAAGAAAAAACCCACAATGGTCACAGAAATAACCAGAATCTGACAAAACTAATAAATAAAAATCATATGAAAATGAACAAATGAAAGTCAGTCATTGCTTTTTAACCATGCTTCAAAAAAATCATGAAACAGGCCTGGACAGAAATGATGGTACCCCTGAAAATAATGTGACCAAAGGGACATGTTAAATCGAGGTGTGTCCACTAATTAGCATCACAGGTGTCTACAGTCTTGTAATCCAGGGCAAGTAGCCCTATCCAGCATGTTTTACTTGATTCCCTGCTATTCAGCAGGTCTTCAGAAGTTTGTTAATCACTCACTCATTCAAACCAGGTGTGTCAGATCAGGGAAACCTCTAAAATCACTGCTTTAAATGTTGACCAACACCTCAAGAGCTTCTCTGAGCTTGATGAGACATTTTCAAACTATGATATTGACTTAGTTTTATGTTTTTTAGTATTGCCTCTGGAAGCCATCAATTCTTTGCCATTTATTTGTAAATAATAAATCAGATAACATGTTAAAGCAGTGATTCTCAACCCTGGTCCTCAAGGACTCCTTTCCTGCATGTTTAGATGTTTCTCTGATTTGACACACCTGGTTTGAATGAGTGATTAACAATCTTCTGAAGACCTGCTGAATAGCAGGGAAACAAGTAAAACATGCTGGATGGGGGTACCTGAGGACCAGGGTTGGATAGACCTGTTGTAATCAGTCAGTGGGCCTGTATATTGGGCTACAGATACTCATTGTGCTGTTTGGTGACATGGTGTGTACCACACTCATCATGGACCAGAGGAAGCAAAGGAAAGAGTTGTCTCAGGAGATTAGAATGAAAATGATAGACAAGCATGTTAAAGGTAAAGATTATAAGACCATCTCCAAGCAACTTGATGTTCCTGTGACTACAATTGTACATATTATTCAGAAATTTAAGATTCACTGCAGCCAACCTCTCTGGACGTGGCCGCAGGAGGAAAGCTGATGACAAATCAAACAGATGGACAATAAGAATGGTAAAATAGAGCCCATAAAAACATCTAAAGAGATTGAAGGTGAACTTCAAGCTCCAAGAACATCAGTGTCAGATCGCACCATGTGTCGTTGTTTKAGCCAAAGTGGACTCAATGGGAGACGACGAAGGAGGACACCATTGTTGAAAACAAACCATAAAACAGCCAGATGGGAATTTACTAAACCACATGTTGACACAAAGCTTCTGGGAGAATGTCCTCTGGACAGATGAGACAAAAATGGAACTATTTGGCAAGGCACATCAGCTCTGTGTTCACAGAGGGAAAGATGAAGCATCAAGAAAAGAACACTGTCCCTACTGTGAAACATGGRGGCTCTGCTATGTTCTGGGGCTGCTTTGCTGCATCTTACACAGGGGGTCTTGAATCTGCAGGGTACAATGAAATCTCAAGACTATCAAGTTTTCTAGAGAGAAATGTGCTGCCAAATGTCAGAAAGCTTGGTCTCAGTAGCAGGTCATGGGTCTTGCAACAGGATAATGACCCAAAACACAGGCAAAAACACCCCAAAATGGCTAAAAGGAAAACAATGGACTACTCTGAAGTAGTATTGAGCATCTTTGGAAGGAGCTGAAACATGCCATCTGGAAAAGGCTCCCTTCAAACTTGAGACAACTGGAGCAGTTTGCTCATGAGGAGTGGGTCAAAATACCTGCTGAGAGGTGTCTGTCAGATGTCTGACAGGATTGCCTCAAAAGCTTGTGCAACAATTAAGTTAAGGGTACCATCTCCAGGCCTGTTTCGTGAGTTTATTTAAAAAAAAAAGTCTGTTGAAGCATGGTTAAAAAGCAATGTCTGACTTTCATTTGTTCATTTTCATTGAATTGTATTTATTATTACTTTTGTCAGATTTAAGTTTTATTGTGTGACCTATGTGGATTTTTCTTTCATTAAACGAGGAGTACCAACAAATTTGTCCGTGCGTATACAGACACAAGCAAAAGCATCCCTCAGCTTTCAGTGGTGGATGATAAGTACAAAAGCTTTTTTCTATCCTAATCTCACATTTCTACACAGACTTTTTGTTTTTAACCTGCTTATGTTATTATTTTTAGAAAATGAGCCTTTTGGTTTTTCAGGAATTGCAAAACAACCCCGCCCCACAAGCTTCACATGTGACATGAGATTTATTCTGTCACAAAATGACAGCCTAGTTGAAACAGACATTTAGAGATAGCTAGAAGTTTCATATTTACCGTCCAAATAGTCCCCATCAACACATTGGTTTTCCTTTCAGCAAACCTCAACGATTTTGTGAAAGCCACTAGAACCTTTTAAAAAGTTGAGACGATTGCTTCAGACTTCTGCAGTGTGTTTTTATAGCAGTCCACAGCTGTGTCCATGTTCATTTCAAACCATCTATTTCCTTTTGCACCCAGTTTAACCCAGCTTTGGCCGCCCGCAGGAAGGGTGTGCTTTACACATAATATTTCTATTTCTGCTTCCTGGTTTGCTTGTCCAGCTTGGTTGTTGAGGTGTCTGTCGCTCTGTTTGGCTCGTTGCTGAAATGTCTCCTCACACACGCAAAACCCCCTCCAGTTCTTTTCCCTCGGAGTTTCCATGCACTGTATGTAAATCTTTGGGTGAAGTCAGGTGAGCTTAAAAACTATATAAATCAGACAAAT